ATATTTTCACAAGAATCAAAGTAAGAGGCAACGGGGGGAGGGGTATATGGTCCAGTTAGTCGCATAAGGCAGTAGGCGTAAATATCGCCTCAGGATGGGCACCATTTTTTTCTCACTAAATGGGAAGTTTTTTATTGATCGAGGAATTTTAAATTTTATTGATTTTGGGAAATTGGTTAGAAGCCCCTATTTGGACGGGGGGGGGGGGGCATATCTACACCACTATTGAAATGTGTAGCTGTGTTTTCATAGCTTACACATTGATGTTTCATAGATTTTACAATGACGATCTGTATGCATTCGAGGCGATGGTTTTTAATATGAATGATCAATCCAACAAACCGATTCTACATCATTATTTACGAATATTCATACAGGTTAGTTACATTAGGCGTTTACTAACAAAAATATGTTGTATTGCCCTTCGCGACGAAACCAATTATCTTAAAATATACAGTCGGCTTTTTATTTTTATTTATTTTTAACGCTTTTTCAAGAAGAAAAAATGTTTAAAGAATTTGTATCTTGTTTGTTTAAATGGAATATAAATGCATAAAATCATAAAAACTATTATCATTATGATCTTTCTTTTTATTACTTGGCATTATTATGTTAATGTGTAAACGAGCCATATTTTGTTGGCAACTTTTTCTAGATGAAAAAAACATTAACTATATCCCTGAGTGCTTTTCATAATCGTCACCACGGTAATTGAGTGATTTTGCGTTATTCGATTCAATTTATCAAAAATACAATAGATGACCGACAGTGCACGATTTTGATTTAGAAATAGTTCACGTACGAGGCGCGTCGTATGGCAATTGTCCTTAGAAAAATAGCCGTCATATGTCAATTTAAAACTCGTCAACCCAGTCCGGGTTTGCTTGATTTGATTTGATTTATTGGTTTTGCATCTTTTTTTTTCTTTTTTTCATCATACATTTTCATGAACATAATTTTGGTTTGATACAATGTTGTAAGTGTATATAATTTTATACAGATAATAAACGAAATTAAACAAATATATTGAATGCATAATTAACATACATTAGATGCAGGAGGGCTACATAAATAATGCTACGTTTACACTATGTTCCCGGCAGCCACGGCAGCCCCGTTTGCACGAAACGTAGAGCGCCGTGGGATTTAGACCAATTTTATCTCTGGATTCAAGTTTTGTTACGTCTTGCCAAGTTTTCTCACGGTTTACCACGGTATCCGTGACGGGCCGTGGGGGGAAGGGGATGCTGAGTCCCGGAGGCTCCAAGGCGCACTACGGTTCGGCCCGCGTTCTACCACGGATGCCAGAACGTTCCCTCCCGGCCCGTCACGTTCTGATGGGGTCCCTCACGTTTCCCACGTTCTGATCAAGGTCTGCCACGTTTTTCACGTTCTGTCAAGGCTTTGTACGGATGAAACGTGGACGCAGGGCAGCTTTGGAGCACGTTTGTGCCGGCGGTATAAAAAGAAGGTCTCCCAAGCAATAGCAATCATGGTATTCTGAGACCTCGCGTTGTGTCAGACCGTAGTGGAACGCAACGCGCCGTAGCGTGCCGGGCGCTTAAACCGTCCCACTACGGACCACCCCCAAGTTTTGTTACGGCCTATTACGGACTGTCACGTTTTGTTACGTTTACCCCGGTTTATTACGGCCTACTAGGTTTCTCATCCGCACCGTGACTGCCGTGGCAAATTTTTGACAGTTTAAAAATCTGACACGGTATCCACGGCAATCACGGCCTGTCACGTTTGCCCATACGGTCCCCCGCGTTGTGTCACGTCAATCCCGTTTCGTCCACGGTGGCCTGAAACGTGGTTGCCGTGGCCGCCGGGAACATAGTGTAAACGTAGCATAAGCAAAGTAGCTTGACGTGCCCGCAGCCCTCAACTTAGATACAACAATGAAAAAAGGAGTGACTTGCAGAGAAGAAAAGGAAAGGGGAGAGAAGGAGCGTTGGTAATAATGAATAAATCTCATACATCTGCTGATTGAATGCAGGTTCTTTCATGAATGGATAAACGATGCTAGGTCATGGACGATTACACATCATTGTTGATATACAGTCAATGTACACACGAACATGAACACAGTATAATTACACACGACAGGATCAATACTTAGACAATAACATAGTTGTAGCTGCCTTGTCAAAAGAATACAATGTCCTAAGGTTTCTTATTACAATGGGCAGAGTTCCGGATGTCTGGGCCGGCGTGTCTAATGGATTTCTAAATTATCAATCAGTTTTCCCTCAATATATATTAGCAACAATATTATTGATCTTATTTTCCACTCCTTCATAGTTTGACAATTAATGGACCAATATGAATTTATACTCGAATATGCTGTTTATATATTTTAAGCTGCATTGCCAATTTAGAGACTTTATTGATTAGTTTTTATTTAAAAAATCGCTCTTATTTGTGAAGGGCACAACGTAGGGATACTGTCTTCGAAATAGTCTCAATATTCTCTGTGATTTTGGCTCTTTCTATTGATATAATGTTTAATTCTTAGCATTCTATATCGAAAGATAATACAAAAACGTCACTAACTTAAGCTATGGGTTAAATCATGCCTTCAGCCTAGAAAAGTAACACCAAAACTACAGGATTAAAAAAAACCAGAGAATGGAAAAGACATTCTAATGATGAGTGGGCGAAATAATTGTCTTTTATCACGCTTACCTTTGAATCCGAATTTTAAAGGAATTTTCTTGATCGTTTGTATTTCAAAGCTGCATTGTGTCAAACTAAAATTTGCACAATGTACATGGCGTTCCTGAAAATAGGAAACTCAAATTTACGGGTAAATTACTTCATAAATCAAAACTGTTTTTAGGAGGGGTGTATATGCATGTTCGTATGATTGAAAAGGATATTTTTTCTTCTTTCAAATGATATAAAAATATTTATCAATAAGTCACGCATGATCAATTTCATACAGTATGGATGACCTTACCCTCAAATTAAAAAATTTCGTGACCCCCCCCCCCAAAAAAAAAAGTGTCCTCTTACCCCCCCCCCCCCCACCCCCGCTTATTCAGCGGCTGGCTGAGTCGTTGCGATTTTTTTTGGACCCCCCCCCCAAAAAAAAGTGTCCTCTTACCCCCCCTCCCCTCACCTAAAAAGGTGACCTTACCCCCCCCCCCCCCCCCCCCCCAAACGGAGCAAAATGTCAAATTTAAAAATTTCATGAGCGAAAAAAAAAGTGGACGCCCAACAAAATAATAATAGAGAGAGAGAGAGAGAGGGGGAGAGAAAGAAAGAAAAAAAGGTAGAGAGGGAAAATAAGAGAGCGAAAGGAAGAGGGAAGAGTTGCATTCAGTTAGTATCAAGTGGAACATTAAAAGCCCCACTGCACTACTTATAGCTATTTGCGCCCTCTATACAGCCAACAATGCCTTAGTTGTACCAGTTGATCCCCATAACGCCCCTTTTCTAACGTTATTTGAGAGCTGATTAGATGAGATAACCACCTGCCAGTGACCTTGCAGAGAGGTAAAATCCCTCCATACCAAACCAGTGCAAGGGGCTTTAAAGTCTGAGTATCGGTGCCATTATCTTTATATCTTAGATATTGTATCATATATTGTATTCTCATTTTGAATATACATTATACGAAGATATTTTGTTCTCGTGTGGGTGTGTGTGTATGTGTGTTTGTTTTTCAGATTGTTTTCCCAATCCTTGTCGCAATGGAGCCAACTGCACGGAGACACGCTTGGACTTTTAATGTATTTGCTCTCCGGACTTCTACGGGCCGACTTGTGGTGAGCAAGCCTGTAGCACACAATCGTATTATATTTGTGGTGTGGTATAGTGGTACTTTCACTTGACTCTCAATCCCAGGGTTGAGGGTTTGAATCCCAGTCTGGAACAAACGTTCCTTAACAAGACATTAATCCACATTTGTCACTTTCCACCAACGCGTCGTACCTGTATGACAGGATGCGGCAGTACCTATACTGCAGTTTGCTCAGCATTGTGAACGTCTGTAACAAAAAAAGGCGCCGGGCTGGAGCTCCACAGGGCCTTCAGAATGTGCATATCTTAATTATCCCAACTATATTATTACAATTTAATTACATTTTAGGTGAATGGAAATCGTCACAAAGCAATAAAATGGCTCTACATTCCATTCCAGACATTTAATGATAAACTCCAGTTCTGGTAAAAAAAAAAAAAAAAAAAAGAAAGAACATTAATTCTCACAGAATCAAACGAAACTTACACTGAATGTTAAAGATTACAAATAAATGACATGTGCCAAACAATTTTGGAAGAAAACGTATACTGGCTGAGTAATGAGCATAGAAAGACAAGGAAATCAAGGTATTACTAGCCCCGACACCATATGTGTGTTGTCCCATATATAGCTTTCTGTGTACAGTGCCTGTTACTTTACCAAGACTCGGTCAAATTTATTATTAATTTAATGAATCCAGAAACTTGCAGTGCACACCAATACTTATGTGCTACATGATCAACTGTTTCTGATGCAATCGCATTACCAGTACTAAAGTTTATCTTTAAGTGTTGACAGATTTTTATAGCCTGTTTTATGTCTTTTTTTCGTGGAAAAACGGTTGGGAAAACTCAAAAATGGTTGGGAGAATTTACTGTGAATCACTGTTAGAGGGTGTCATACATCGACTCCTTCAAAGAAAACCATAGATATCTTCGTGGTTTGAGAATTTTCAGGATTGTTTGCATGTCAGAGGCTTAGTACAGTAGAAGGAACATAGTAAGTAACATTTTATAAAAAAATTAAGCAATTTTTTCAGGAACCTTCAACAATGTTACCAAGTCACTTTAATATTATAGCGTTTTTCCTGTCAATAATAACATATCGACAGTCAATACGTCTCATTGCAACATTATACAATCAATAGTGTTGAATCTTACAAATAATGGGTATTATGCTGCCATGTACATATCATGAGCATTATTGTTATGTAAATACATGTTTTTTATAGATAAGGCGACTTTACAACATATTTAATTGTTATGGTATTTATTATATCAAATATACTTGTGGGATACACGTATAAATTAACACGTTTCAAAGCAATTTGAAAAGTAACAATTGAATATTACACAAACTTAGAATAGAGTAGTTATCTACATGAGCATGTTGTGAGTATGTGAGGCCATTAAACTAACTATCCAAGTTATTTCATTATTATAGCATCGATTCCATCAAAATACACACTAAGCATTAATTCTTCTCGTAGGAAAATTAAAAAATCAAGAACGTTTAATCTTAAACAAACTCGGTATAGCTATGTGCAATAATGAGAATAATTTATTGATACATGTTGATAACATACCCTCGCTATACACTACATTGTAAGCCATCATCATGATCATCATCATCATCATCCTCATGACCTTGCAGCATTGTAATAGCATTTGTTCTAATGAAAACACTTGTTTTATATGTACATGTTTATATGAATACGTTACATGGCCAAATACAAAATCAACCATTTAAATGTTACAGTAATCAGAATAAATCTACATGTGGTTTTTGTGCAGAATCAGCGGTTTACCGGGTAATATCTGAACGAGTCTTAAATGTACAATAATGTGCCTCCTGGAAGACGCCATCTGAACTGCTTCCAGTTAGTCTAATGTTGGCCCAGTACTATCTCGCATACCTTTCAAGAACCCCAACAGTTCTAGAAAAATGATAAATAAAGAAGAGACAGATATACATATGGGAACACATAATGATGCTCTTTGGCAGTACACGAATTTACGTCAAATTTGGGGGACACATAACAAAGCACACTTCAAATAAGAATATACGTACTGTAGCCTACTCGTACGTAGCGAATACAACTTACACACGCCCACGCACATGTGCACTTTTAAACAACCCTCATAATATGCATTAATATTCAAATGAATGTTTTTAATTGCAATGTCTTAGCGTGTTTTATAAATAAATTTCTTTTGTGTCCATTTTCTGTTATTAGGGACTTTTAGATTCTGCACGACGAGAACGTGGACGGCCCTTTAAAGGCAATGTGACGTCCTTTTAAGGCACTGGCAGTGACGTCACATTGCCTTAAAAGGGCAGTCCACGTTCTCCGTTGTGTCCCTATTATCTCTGCCGCAAAACTTCAACGTATTGTTCAACTAAACCAGCAGGTTTGAATTCCACTTAAGATCATTGACCGATGTCCCCTTGTAAGACCATGTATACTCTCTTTGAAGGAATAGCACAAAGCATTCCAAACACTGCAAACAGTATATCACAATACCAAACATCTTACCTGCATTTCCTTTTGACATTTCTCTTATTGCTTCCGGGTCATCAGAATCACGTGCTTTCTTGGCGCCTGGGATTACTCCATAACTGATGTACAAAGGTGAAAGAATACGGAAGATTTTATGTTGTTGCTATTTTTCAGATGTTTACAATTATTGTTATCAATTTTGTATTTTTTTCATTATCAATATTATTATTATTATCAGTATTATTATTAATATTATTATCATTATTGACTTGACTTTATTATCATCATCCATAATAATAATGTTGTTGATAAAAACGTTTTATCAATAACAGGTGCCGTAATTTATTGTATAACAATGTTTCTCTCAGCCAATCACTATGATTTCAGAAGCTTAGAACAGTTATCGGCACTTTGTCGTCGATAACAAGGTTTATGAAACAAGGCCCTCTTGTTTTAAAGAAAGGATGGGACCCAAGGTTATAAGCGAATAGCCCCTTCATTAGTCAAGTGTGCCATCTAACTTCAAGCAATAACACGAATAAACTAGAAAATTTATTTAATGTTCATTGTGGTAGAAACGACAACATCATTAACAACAACTCTCCCGTAAGTCACTGAAATCATTTCGTCAAAAGATCTTATAAGATATGAGATATAAAGAGGTGATTTGAAACTGAAATCTTATTTTTGTGTGTATGTGGGGGTTTTTTACATCCAAAGCGGGTTAACTTTTGTATACGGCGTTTTGAAGCTAAAATCCCCCAAAAGGGTAGGAAGGCCTTTTCGTCATAACTATTTATTTTTGTTTTTTCTGACCCGGCATCTTGGGGAAATGTGCTCTTAATTCCTATAACATAGAATCATTGATTACACTTCAATTGTGCTTTATACTATTTACTTTGTACTTGTGAAAGTCTATGAGTTATTGCAAATAAATAATTATGATACAATCGAGGTCGAAGAGCCAAGTGAGGGCGTTATCTGAAATTAGATGGAATTCCCTGATGCCTCCCAGGAATATTGTCAGCACACGTTGTGATGATGTGCGGTGCAGTCTGGGTCATGTTTCATAAAACTTGTTATCACTAACAAATGTTTAATTTCTTGGTAACCACCGTTGCAGGTGTTTGTTTTTTTAAATAAAGAATTTAACGCCGTTGTGGTTCCATACCTGGTGACACTTTGCACGTGACCACTTCTGAAGTCCTTTATAGCATGGATACAGCTGTTATACATGTCTTTGCAGGTCGGATCTTTCGTTGATTCAACTGTATTGAGTGTTTACAAGTGGATAAGAAGATAAAAATGAAACCTTTTTTTTGGGGGGGGGGAGGGGTTAGGAAGAGGAGCTGAAAACGATGCTGTTGCCACAGAGTGAACGACAATGGAATCGTTTAAGCTTAAAACCCTCAAAAGGCCAGGTTAATTTCATTCTCTCTCAATACCGTAGAGATGTTCACGTTACAATAATAAATAAATATGTACCTCCCCTGTCTTGGAATCTCGGCCATGCAATGAGGAAATAATCTGAAACTTGGCATCATACAGAGTATTCCATGAGGAAAAAGTTGTATCTCTATAGCACATATTTTGCTCTACCAATTGGTACATGTATTGTGTACAAAGCACATGGGGATTTTTTTTGTTGCGTGTGTGTGCAAATTTCGGATCAACAGATGCGTAAGACTTCAACACACTAAGGAATAAGGGTGCAATTGGGGTGCAGATTTGCATCCATCTACGCGTATTTCGCAGAGGGCGCTGCTACTGTGGCAGAATTGCAACCTTATAACTGAGTGTGAACCGGTTAAATATAGATAATGTATATTATCTTCTGAAAAGATGATTGGTACTACATAATCGGAGAATAGCGTTGACAAGAGACACAACTAAAGCTTTTCGACTTGCACTCATCAGAGTAAAACGCAAGAATCCAATCAGCGCTCGTTATATTCGCGCCTTGCTTGTTCCTTTTAGTTTCCGTTTATATTGATCGATTTCGGCTTTCTGTTTCATTTTTGCGTTTTACTCTGATGAGTGCACGTCGAAAAGCTTTAGTTATGTCTCTTGTCAACGCTATATCATATTCATACGTATCAAGGAGAACTAGGATTGGGATATTACCGAAGTCTTTGATAGAAGGGCCGTTCTCAACTGCTATGATGAAGCGGACATGAGCAGGCGGCATGGCTTTTCGGAGAAGAAGACGGTTCCTCTCTAGCACAGGAAGAGATTGAGGGAAATGTTTGAAATCGCGGGAAGAATGATAAAATGTAATCAATCACCATAATTTGTTAAGTAAAATAAAAGTGAAGATAACTGACTTTATTCTATGACAACATTAGGTTAGTTTATTCATTTGCCTCATAATTACAATACTAAACATGACTTTCGGGTCGATCCTTGGCAGTCCAAAACTTCTAAATCATCTGACGTATTAGGTTCAAAAAGGTTTGAATTAGTACTTGTTTATGTAACTCAGACATTATTAAAGATAATGATAACAGTAAGAAAAATGAGATATATATTTTTTTTTAACCCAGGATAGCCCCATCAATACGAATACTGTTCTCGCTGAGAATCCTGCAGTTATAATCATTACCCCCGGTTTTAGCCGAGCTACAGTGAGGCGCTCTATCATTCCAGGAATTTCTTCCGGCCTGTCAGGTACCCATTTACCACACCTGGGTGGAGAGTGGCTCTGCAGCCAATTTAAGTACCTTCTTCTGGTGTGTGTTTGATACCCAGTGCGGCATCAAAGACGGGTAATGTTGGCGTCTGGGCGGCTGTTAGTGGTCCGCACTGGAAAATATTATAAATATTAATATGAAATGTAAATTATAAGATATACATCGGAAAACTGGAAAGAAGTGGCATTGAATAAAAGAGAGAGTAAAACCTCGCTCAGATACGCAATTGGTTAAAAATGAAATTGTATATATATATTTATATGTAGGTATAATAACCTAGTGAAAGTGTTAAGTATACGCTTCGTATTGTTGTTAAAGGCGGGGTGTTCTACTGACTCTATTTCAGATTAACGTTTATACTAGCTTCTATTTGACGTCCCATAATGCATCACCAACTGATGACCCGCGCGTAATGATGATTGGGTACAGGACCCGGAAATCGCTGTATGTCCGCCTTTACCGAAATATTTCAAATACCGAAGCAGCAGTGCTGTAGAAAAGAAAATCTTGGAATGAGAGTTCTTTAAATTTAAACACGACAAACATTGATTATGTCTTTTGCGCACACGGCGTCATGTTGTTGCTGTAATACCTTCGATATCAAGCATGCGAAGGCAACTGGCCGATAATGATAATAGTAGTCACATGTTTTAGCGCTTAAAACTGCGTTTCTAAGCGCTAAATTGTAACTATCATTACCTCGTTCATTGGATTCAACTGCTAATCTACACATGAAAGTGCACTCGCTCCGCTCCCCGGGGAATATTTCCACCAGGCGCCTTACATCTATAAGTATAAATGTCAAACAGGCCATATTAACGTTCGCATTTTATCGGGTACCAATTAAATACCTCGTTATAGGTTGGAAAATATAGAGGAATCTCTTGCCAAAGAACATTAAACACGATAGCAACTATTTCTAAAAAATAAAGTCAAGGGCGATTCCGTGCCAGGATTACGTAATACGTCATTGCCATGTTAGGATATTTCAATTAGCCAAACACGAGGCTATTGAAATTACCTTAGATTGATTTTTAGAAAGTAGTTGCAATTAAGCGAGTTCGTAATTAGGATTTGCGCATGGGCAGATACAGGTCATTCGTACTCACACTGTAAAACCATTGAGATGAATACTCGGATCGTGCTCATGAAAGTTATGTAATCAGTATTCATGTATGCACCAACAGTACATTTATATGATACACAGGTGGAAGTATTCTTTTCAAGAGGCACACAAAAGGTATTCATGAAGCACCTCCATCCCTTTGGCAGTGATTATTCTGAAATGCACATGTGGGACGTATATCCATCGTGTAAAAGATCTGTGGGTATATTCTCATCCTTCATTACTCAGGTAATGACTCACAGATTACATCAATAACAAAATTTATGGGAAAGCCTGCCAGACCAACATTTTCCTGCTATACGTTGTACCGCAGGAAAATACAAATATTTTGGGGTCATGCGTACCAGATCTATTTACGAACTCGCTTATTGTTTTAACAGTGCCGCGGCAGGATTCGAACCGCAAACCATGTGATCCACTGTGGTATGCATTAGACCGTGACACCTATACAATAGTAACTGAAATAAATATTCCAGACTTCATTTTCATCCAACATATTTTGAAGGATGTCACCGTCAGATGTAGTATCAAAAATCGCACAGACGCAGATCTACGCCAGTAACAAATGACGCTTCGTGAGCAACGAGCATTGGGTTTTGGAGGCACCCGTCTTTATAGGCACATGCCCCTGATAGATATTAAAGATAAACTTGAGTTCTGGTTAAAAAAAAGAAAAGAAAATGAATTCTCACATAATTAAACGAATCTTACACTGAATGTTTAAGATTATAAATAAATGTCATTTGCCAAACAAATTTTGGTAAAAAATGTATACTGGCTGAGTGATGAGCATAGAAAAATAAGGAAATCAAAGTAACTAACCCCGACACCATTTTTGTAGTCCCGTGCATATCTTTCTGTGTACAGTGCTTGTTACTTTACCATGACTCCAGAACCTTGCAGTACATACCAATACTTACATGCTACATGATCAACTGTTTCTGGTCCATTCCACACCTTTTCTTTCACAATACAATCGCATGACCTGAACTGAACTTTATCTTTAAGGTTGACAAAACTTATTATATGCCCAAATCCAAAACTGTTGACATTTCGGTTGCTTTATTCGCTTGTCTGCACAGCCCAAAGTGCAAATTTGCACAACGGGTACCTTTGTGCGTCACAATGGCTTTGTAAAATTACTCATTTCCGGTCTTGATTAGTTCTGTGACAAATATTTCAACCCCGGTATGGATTAATTTCGCTCTAGAAACAGTCAAGAATTTCGAAGACTTTGTTATTTCTATTCCATGATAATTGCAATGTGACATATATATAAAAGGAGATTTTTCGGGGGCATGTGAAAATATACATCCCCGCCACTTCCGCGGCGATATTAACCTCTTTATCTCTAATTGTAAAATAACAAGAAAAGTAATTATCCTTACACCAATGGGCTCGTCACTAACACCTTCAAAGACTATGCCCTTAAGATTTTTCTTGTGAAAAGGAGGAGAATCCCAGCTGAAGATAAAATGAAAATAAACAAAAAGACAAAAAACAAACAATTAAACAACATTCTAACAATTGAAACAACAATATAGTCCCCTAATTATACACCGAGAACTATATTTGCTTTAGTTCTATAACATTTCGATCATGTAATGCCATGATGAAATAATATATCAAGATCTATTGATGTTCTAAATATTACATCGTAAAATTACTCATCTTTCATGTGTAATCCCAATAGTCCTTTCAATGTTAATGTCTCTAGTGAATAGAGAGCCCTCATCGTTAATTGTAAGACAGTGTGCTCTAAAGCAATTGGGAAGATATAATTTGTTTTAGAAAAAATAAGAATGTGGATATATTTCTTTCAAGTTGTTGCCATTTGAAAATTACTCTTCATGACTGATCATTTATGGATCTTGAGGATAATTGTTTAATGTGTCAATGTATGTATCTACTGAAAATTAGGACATAAATGCAAAATCAATTTTGATAAAAAGTGGATGTATCATATTGAACTATATGGAACTGAACTCTTCATCTACACTTATCCTAATGATCTAGCTTCAATTTTTGTATTTGTTATGTGGCAAAACTCAAGACAAATGCTGGGTGCTCACAGTATTGATATGAGTATAACATTCTATCAAGCATGCTATAAATTCTCTTTGCTATGAATCTGATAACAAGAAGACAACATTACCCTTCGGCAAAAGGCTTGATTTTGTGATAGAAATGTTCTGGGTCGCATCCATCTTCATAATCAGTAAGAGATGAGGGAAACAGACAAAAAAAGAGAGAGAGAGAGATATTGTTTTAAGATATAAACAAAAATGATCGTTGGATAATATGATTGGATTAATAGAAGAAAACACAACTATATTCCGTAGAGCTGTTCACGTTACAACAATAAATATATATATATGTACACACACACACACACACACACAAAGTGAAAACAATAATCTCAACTTCAGCATTAGTCAATAATTATAGTAAATGCTTGTACATAATGACCTAGTTATAATAAGGATAACAATTCGATCAAATTATATAGCGATATATACTCTACTACACCGAATAAAAACAAGGCTCCTAACCAGGGAGTTGGAATGAAATCCCTGCTCCTAACAGTGCTCATTTACAGACACAGCAGAACGAAAATATGAAGGAAAAAAATCATGAAAACATGTGCGTCTTCAACACAGCTTTGAAGACAGCATCAGATGAGGCTTTTCTTATGTATAGTGGAAGTTTATTCCAAAACTTTGGAAGAATAATAATGGATACAATAAAAAATGTTGTTAAGAACATGCACCAATGAGACATTAATCACCTCGAACAACCAGGAGACTTTTCTTCAAGCTTTGTAAGCAGTTTTTTAGTTTTTCCAGACAAATGGCTAGGTTATCACCATTTCCTTGTAACACGGCCTGCAATTACACAAAAGGAAAAATATATAACTACCAGGTTTATAACGTATGTCACTCAATATATGTGCGTGTGCGTGATTTTGTGTGCGTGCCTGAGCGCGCGTATGTATTATGCAAAGAGGGAGAAAGTGACATATTTCTTCGACCCTTATTTTATTAAATTTTATCTTTTAACCAATTTATACTGCATAAACTTATTATATTTTGAAAATGAGACCGTAAAAAAGATCAAACACATATTGGCAACATTGTGACTTATCTTACGAGCTCCTCTCCAATTTTTTCTGTACATACACATTCCTTTTTTCTTGTTTTCGTTAATAATGATAACGGAATACTGACAGGGGTTGAATAGAAACATTGAATTATTTGGAATAATTGTATTTACGGTGAATGTATGGTTGAACATTTTCTTGTAGGAAATCATAAATGTGTTGTTTTATTTCAGTACGGGGCAAATGGAGGGGAGGTCGCAAGATATGTCAGAGAGTCCCAATTTGAATTTGATTGATTTAAAACTTCATAACTTTCTCATTTTCAATCGGATTTTGCTAAGAATGTCACTGACCTGTTCCACTCATTTTCCTGCTTCTATAAAAATCAGCATATTATCAGAGTGGACTTCGCCTTTAAACTATAATGATTTATGGGGAAAAACAGCATGAAGTGGAAATGACAATACAGAAAGGAACATATAATTCATCAGGCATTATGAGACAATGGACATTCGTTATTACAATTGCAAGACTGATAAACTGTGCTGACTAAATACATGAAAAGAGTTTTTTTTTATCGGTAACGGACCTTTTGAGCGTCGCTGACAGCAAATAACCCCTCAGTTGCAAGAAATTCGTACGGGAGCGTCGACGTCATGAAATTACTTTCCTTCTCACCTCCGTTCATTGTAAAAATCGTTTCCACGTTTCTGTTAAAGAACATCATAAAGGAATATAAAATCAACATATCTTCCATCTGCATCAAAATCTAAAACTATAAACTTTCATTAGTATAGATTTAAAGGTCCTCTTTTTAAAAACAGTTAACAAATTGGCTATGATACAATGGATCACATTAAAAGAGAAAACAAAGTAAGTAATTCAATATCTCGTCTGTCAGTGTCGCGTCGCTAGTGTGCCGCTATTTTGATATTTGTCTTTAAATGTTATTCACATTGTCCTAAGCTAAAGAAAATATAAAATGACATGTTAAGGGAAAGCTTATCGTGCCTTTGCAGTGAAATATTATGAACAAAAAGTGGAGGACCATGACAAATGTATAACGGAATTGATTTTAATAAAGAGGGTCATGTGTCGGTTACACATGCTGATTTTTCATTGAGAAAAAAGCAATAAATAATTATAACAACCTTGAAAGGAAGATGAAATAAGAATGTTCCGCTATAAGCCTTAGTCCAGTAATGATAAGTCTTATAACAAAACAGCGTTGATTCTTTACGATTAGAGGAATCTATTAAATATTGCTTTTTTTAATTATGTAATCTGAATCTATACATAATAACATACTTTGGAACAATAGGACCATCCGGGTCCTTGAGTTTCCAATTGCACAAGCTCGAGGTGTGATACATAGGGCTCGGTGGGTAATTGAGTTTGTCCGACACACCCTTCAGAGGTACCGCAATCTGGCGGGGAAGTATCTATGGGAGGGAGAGGGGGCAGAGAGAAGAGGAAGGTGAAAGAGAGAGAGAGAGAGAGAGGGGGTGACAGAGAGAAGAAAAAGAAGAAGAAGAAGAAGTAAGAGAGAGAGAGAGAGAGAGAGAGAAGGGGGTATAGAGAGTGATGAGCTAGACGATAGATGTTTCTTTAACAAAAAGTATACCAATCTTCCCGGTCCATTCTTGCAACGCCACATCGTTTTTAAATGCCTCGCATAAATACTGACTCAATCATAGAATAAGCTAACAATTATGTTCCTGATTTATATTTCTAGTAAACCCCCCCCCCTCCCCCCTCCCACACACAGTGCAACTTTTGTGCAGTTATGGGAAGAGTTATGGGAGGTGTGCGAGAAACTTTCATTCTCGAAATTGTACATGAGATACGTATCAAGGGAATACACTAGCGTATTTATTATATTTATTATTCCCTTATATTGCTATCATTATTATTATCATAAATTTTCTCACTATCGTCGATAATTATATTTTTTGGAATAATTTTAATTCGATTTGCATTGCATATTGTACAGTGTTAATTGACAAATTCAAACTGATTGTAAACTTCTCCAATATCCCAATGTGGGTGACATGAGAATAAATTGTCATTGACATTGTCATTGTCATTGCACATTACTTGTACATAAAAAGTGGCTGGATATTTATTGCTTGGTTGGATATGAAAAAAAAGGGATGCAATAATGTGTAAGTCAATAATTGTAAGACTGCACAGGAAAGGCAAGAAGTACAGACACATTCCCAAACTAAAAGAGGTTTTCTTTCCAAAAAAAGTAGCAAAGTATCTTCAATATTGTTTAATTATGACTATCATCATTATTATCATCATAATTTTATCATCCTTCCCCTCATTATTTTACTTATTGATGTTACTTTGTTATCATTATTATCGACATTGTTATTATCATCATAATCGATAGTATTAGTGGTAGTAGTAGTATTAGTAGTAGCAGTACTAGTAGTATCATCGTCATCACCACCATCACCGCCAACATCACCATCATCATCAGCATTATCAATGCTGTTGTTGTTGCTGTTAACTGGTGTTATTAGTATCATATATTTACTACTTAGGCTATTTATTTATTTATTTATTTATCATCATATCGTGCTAAATGGTATTTAAAAACTATTTTATTAATTTTTTTTAAATTATTTATTTCTATTTTTTTGTAAAGGTAGTGTGCTGGCATTTTTACCTCCGGGACTCCTTCAAAGCCATCAACCCATATATAACACTGGGCTAAACCAGTCAGAAGACAATGGGCAAGTCGAAGAAGTCTGACGTCATCTCCAAGGTGGGCGTGGTCTAGCAACGGTAGCTAAGATAATGAATAAATCATGATAATATAATATTTGCGAGAATATAAGCTAAATACATAATACGTTTAAAAGCAATCAAAGATTGAATCAAATGTGTTATTTATGATACTTAGTGTAAAACAGAGATTCGACATGTTCGATATTAGGACTGATTCTAGTGACTCGAGCTTCGGGCACAAAATCAGCGAAACTACTATTACCTCTACTGCTGCTGCTATTATAGCTACCACTACTATTACATACAGTGCGTCCTAGAATAAAGAACGAAACCCAAAAACAAACGGTTGCTGTGAACAAACTATGAGCTATTTAACCCGTTGACTACTGAATTCTCTAATTCCCATAGGCTTAATACATGGAGCACCCGGTTCCAGTAAGCAATGGGTTATTTAGTATAATTCCTTGATTTATATATGCTTTTAAATAAAATATTGATTAAATTAGTCCATATATGCTTTACTTAGAAACATCTACACATAATAAATGTGTATTGTATATATGTATATATACATATACATATAATTTAGTGTTTTGTATGTTTTTTGTTACTCTAGAATGAAATGAGCACTTTTTCAATTAAGGCCTTCGTTGAATATCAAGAAACATAAATGATGTCAAATTAATCGTTTCACAGAAATTATCGAACTCAGTAAGTGTATGAAAATGTTGTTGTTAATTGTATTATGTATACATGTATGTGCATATATATGCACAAACAGAGTTCTCATACACTATCATTACGTATGTATACGAACGCCAAGGGAGAGAGAGAGAGAGAGAAAGAGACGGGGATAGAGGGTCAGATAGAGAAAGGGAAATATTTACCTCTTTGATCTTGTCACGAATCGTCCAGTTGTGGACATAATCTTGGACATTGACCGTGAAGGTCATCCAAGGGGGGGGGGGGGTTCAGATAGAAACAGGAAATATTTACCTCTTTGATCTTGTCACGGATCGTCCTGTTGTGGACATAATCTTGGACATTGACCGTGAAGGTCATCCAAGGGTAATAGTATGACGGAAGTTCTCTCTGCATACACACAAAACGAAAATGATAGATATGTGTCTTACCATACTATTGAGGGAGGATATGAGAGAGAGAGAGAGAGAGAAAGAGAGAAAGAACGAAAGAAGTGAGTTATGCACATGAATATCAAGATCAAGAAAGAGAGAGAGAGAGAGGGAGAGAGAGAGAGAGGAGAGAGAGAGGGGGGAGATGGGGGTGGGGGCATGCACGTGTTGGTATGTGACAGACGTTATAATGCAGATTGCAGTAGTAGGTACGCGCCCATCTCTTTACGACAAAATAAATATACCTCTTTAGTTGTTCTGCCTTTTTAAACCAACTGTTTAATATCAGGGTAGAATTCCTTTTTAAAGACTGCTTAGTGTTGAATACTCCACATAATACTAACATATAGCAGTCTGTCCAGTGGTATACACCGACCTAAGACTTCATGAAATAGTAGCTCCATACACACACACACACACATATTTTGTATTATTATACTCACAGCAGGGTTTTCGGGAACAAACCCGAATTTGGGATGAATGTCATAATCAAGTGGGTCAGGAACGGCCATACTCCGAAGATCGTCGTGCTGAAAACCGAATAAATTCTGACCTAGTTGAATGTTGAACAACAATCTCTTCCAAGATCATAAGCAATGGAGAATCGATGCGTGGCAATATGACGGTAATATAACGCGCAAAATGTACAAACCCTGCACCGCATATGCGGACCTATGCAAAGGAAGTTTGAAATCAACTGTACTTTACTACTAGTAAGTTACATATGATGGACCGTGGACCGTGTTAAGATAATAAATATTGTATGACAATATACACGTCCATTCAAATAGCATGATGGTCATTGTATCCAAAATCGTTTATGCAAACTATATGTCACGAGACAAACGGGTCAAAGGTCAATTGATCACCAAGAAAGCGTCCGACGTATCTAACTGGTGACACACATAATTATTATATGCAAGTTGTAAAACACAGTCATTTCTGAGACTGAAATTTATAATCTGTTTGAGCTTATTAATTTCTTCTTCCCTCCCCTTCATCCTGGGAAGTAGGGCCGCATCTTTGAGAAAATTGGGAGTTGGTGGGAGGGGGTTGCAGTCATTTACATGAAATAATAGGACCTGCCTGAAAATAGTAGTCAAATCTGTGCTTAGTTATGCTACGGTCACAAAGGTTCGTACGAACGATCATTTCGTACGAATCTCCCTGTTTTTCCATTGTCTTCCCGAATTTCAATTGTCCGAAAATTGTTCGTACGGCGTTCGTAGCAGTTCGTGAAGGCATTTGTGATTCAAAAGGAATTCTGTAGTCTTACCATTCTTTACCCCCGCCCCATCTAAGTGAAATTCAATGATCAATTAGTATAGCCTGACGGGGGCGTTTGTTCGCTTGTTTTACATGACTGTTAAGCAAGCGTGTGCATGATTGTTAGAAAGCAAACAGGGGACCGACGATTTTAAGTTCTCTCCAAAGGACATATCAATGAGAATTAATGCCTTAATACCGACTTGGGACGAGCGCATCGACTTAATTTCGAACCCGGGTGTGAACGAGTAGGAATCCCACTACTGTATTACCTGCCCAACAACTGGAAATGACATGACAAGAAAATTACTCTACAGGGTATATATAAGCGTAACAATCCATTAGCAAAGATTAACAAATTAGCGTTGTTACATCTAATAATATGGAATAATACATGCATTAGGAGGATGCGTCTCTCTACAGCGACAAGTTAAGCCCCGTTTGTGAAAATCTTTGCGTGGACAGTCCTTGTTAAAAGCATTACAAATTGCAATCAAGGAGAATACAGGCAATATTTATTTCTTTTATTTTTTTTCGTAGGCACTATTCCATGAATGCTTGAATGTATGGAGAAAAAGAATACCAAAAGACACCAAAATTGGCGAGGACTCGTTCGAATCATCAACTCTTGAATTGAGAGTCAAGAGAATGAACCACTATGCCACACTTCAACTTGAAGATGCCATTTTATAATTAGTCAGTTCGAAACAGTACTTATGGTGATATAGTGTTGATACTGATGTTGCGTTATTATCATTTCTTACTTGGCTTTCAAAACTAAAAGAACAAGTTCTCAGTATACAGAAGGGTTAAATTTAATTATGATGACCTGTCTCTCTCTCTTATTTGTATTTTTCTTGTTTTTGTTTTTGTTTTTGTTTTTTTGTTTGTTGTTGGTATAAATCTTACCCAGCTGCACAGCGCCATCTTCAGGTAAAACTCCAGGTAATATGTCGGACTTGAGGGCATGTATTCACCCTTTTTTTGTTCTGGTGCTATATGACGTATCCGGACACCTAGTTGTCCGGGGGTAGTTGTCCGGGGTAGTTGTCCTAGGGGTTAGTCGTCCTAGGGGGTAGTGGTCTGGGGGTAGTTGTCCTTGGGGGGGGGGAGGGCGGGTCGTCCTAGGTGGTTGTTGCCCTAGGGGGTAGTTGTCCTAGAGGGTGGTTATCCTAGGGGCGGTTATCCTAGGGGCGGTTATCCTAGGGTGGTTGTCAACGGGGCAGGTGTCCTAGAACCGCTATTAATGTACAAAAAGTGACAGTTTCCGCTTCTTTCTTCTTTTTTTTTTGGGGGGGGGGGTTAAATTTGTTTTATTTTTCATTTTCATTTTCCTTCTGTCCGTCGGTCTCTTCTATGAAGAAAAAAAAAACGTACACCAACAACAGAAGGATTCACAGAGCATTATTTGGCGCGCATTGTGCATGCGCACCGGGGTCGCCCATACTTTCAAAGCTAGCTATAACCTATGCTTCCCTGAATCCATGGACCTCTACTCCTGCTACCCCGTGTACGTCTCCTCTCTATCTCTATCATTCTCTCTCTCTCTCTCTCTCCCTCCCTCCCTCCCTCTTCCTCTCTCCCTCCCTCACTCTCTCTCTCTCTCTCCCGGCCCCTTTATATTACGTTGTGCTCTGATTGACGCTAATATTTGTACAAAACATCGCACGCTCGTTAAAACGATATTATCAGTAACCGCATGATTAATCATGTCACATAATCTTTTTTTAAACGATATTATCATTAACCGCATGGTTGATCATGCCACATAATATTTTGATCTGAAAGATTGATCGGTTGATTCAATGTGAGTGCACACTATGTGGAATGTATATTCATTCAAACCATTCATCACGACGTACATGAAGCTACATGTACCCATCAATGATTTATAAATTCGATGTAAATTTTGTGTCGTTTGCTTTTAATCGTTGGTACCCAATCGACTTCTCAACTACAGGCAAACAAATATTCTTATAATGCTGTCCATACAGCACCGATCGAGATGTTTGTCGCATTATATCGACAATGAGAAGATAATAAAAGTTAACAATTAATTCAATACCACATACGATGTCGCCTAACAAACTTGCAAGTTTTCGTTTTACTCAATATTAGGGAAAAGTCTACAATTTTTTAAATATATTGTTTAGGGTGCGCGTTAGAATCATTTTGACGGCATAGAACAACGCTCAGGTTTCCAAAACTTCAACCGAAATATAAGCCTGTAATGTATTTGAGAACGTCGACACCCATCGGTGTAATTTTATGACAATAATTATGCTCATCCTTCCCTGCGTGTTAATTTATATTTGATAAGATTTAACACAGACTTCAGGTTGTGGTTATGGTTAACTTTCATTTATACAATTTTCATTCAAATTGGTGATGTTTCGCTTGGGCTGAACGTTGATTTACACAATCTACTGTTGATACCGTAATTCAATATTATGAGAGGAAGGTTGTGAATTCTGAGACTACTTCCCCACATATTTTCACAATGACTTTTTTTAAAGATTTGTTGTTTTCGTCTAACATAGATTTTATAATATTGTCCATTGTTAACATTTGACAAAAAGAGCTATGTAATTTCTAATACTTGTGATACATACGCACTGAAAAGCAATCTACGAGGAACCAAAGCAGATGACCCTTATTATTTGTTTAAATAAAAATGTTGTGTAATCAAATACATGTATATAGTATTCTTAATTTCATATACGTTTAAATAAACCTGATAAACAACTTTGTACTAATTCCTGATGTGAGCCTGTTTTGGAAATGTTTGGAAAAGGTATAAGCACTAATCTGAAGATAATTTTGAAAACATTAAATAAAAAAAATTAAAACAAGCTAGAACTTGGTTCTTAGAGTCAGTTCAAGCTACAATATTTATATAGAAGGAACAAGACAGAGAGAGAAAGAAAAGAGAGAGAGAGAGAGAGGGGTGAGATAAATGCATGGGGCAGGTTCCATAATGTATAGAGAGCAGGGGCATGTAAAAATCATACTGACGAAACGCTGGTATCAAATAGAAATTGATAAACAGGTTAACCACTGGGGTGCGGCAAAGGGTCCTGTCATCTTTGTTCGTTGTTATTCACTGTCCCTTTCTTCCCTTTCATCCCTCTCTCTATAATCTCCCCTTGTCCCTTCCCCTCTCTCTCTCTCTCTCTGTCTCTCTATCACTCCCTCTCTTTCTCTATTCCTCCCCACTCTCTCTCTCTATCTCTCTATTTCTTCTTCTTTCTCTCTCTCTCTCTCTCTCTTCCTTCCTCCCCTCATCCCTCTCTATCTCTCTCTCTCTCTATCTCGATTCCTCCTCAACTCAACACGTACACCAACAACAAAAGGAATCACAGAGCATTATTTGGGGCGCATTGTCCACCGGGGGTTCCCATATTTGCAAAGCGATAACCCCTGCTACCCCTGTACCTCTCACCTCCTTTTACCCCGGCCCCTACATATTACTTGTGCTCTGATTGAAAAACATCAATCATGATCATGTCACATAATCTTTTTGGAAAGATTGATTTGAAAGATTGATCCGTTGATTCAATGTAAGTGCACACTATGTGGAATGTATATTCATTCACACCATTCATCACGACGTAAATGAAGCTACATGTACACATCAAATGATTTATAAAGTCGATGTAAATTTTGTGTCGTTTGCTTTTAATCGTTGGTACCCAATCGACTTCTCAACTACAAGCAAACAAATATTCTTATAATGCTGTCCATACAGCACCGATCGAGATGTTTGTCGCAATATATCGACAATGAGAAGATAATAAAAGATAACAATTAATTCAATACCACATACGATGTCACCTAACAAACATGCAAGTTTTCGTTTTACTCAATATTGGGGAAAGGTTTACAATTTTTTAAATATATTGTTTAGGGTGCGCGTTAGAATCATTTTGACGGCAAAGAACAACGCTCAGGTTTCCAAAACTTCAACCGAAATAAAAGCCTGTAATTACATGAGAGCGTCGACACCCATCTGTTTTATATTTATGACAATAATTAAGTTCATCCTTCCCTGCGTGTTAATATATATTTGATACACTCTTAATGTCAACGAGTAAATTGTGCCGAGTAAAACAAGCTGAGTAACAAAAATATGAGCAATTCAGTACTCAAGCTGGAGTAAGAAGTCAATTTTAGTGATACTCGTCATCCGAGTAATTTGTTACCTTTGATAAAGAGTAAATCAATGACTCAACATTGAGTAAGAACTTCGTTTGTGTCAATTTTGAGTAAACTACGGTTGGGTATTACGCGGCGGCAGGTGATAATTAACTCAACATTGATCTCTTACCCGAATTTACCTCGGGTGCGAGTGAAAGTTGGATCAATGGAAATTGCAACTAGCTGTCAATATGCATGTGACACCTGTTCTACACATTTTTACATAATTGCAGCTGTATGTTCCTTTGTCTACCTAAGGAACTGTATATTTTGCCATCTTTCATTGTCCGCCATATGCATGTCTCGT